GCGTCAGCAGGTAAATAAAACTGGCCCGGCCCGCCAGGGTGCTTACCCTGGCGAGCCGCGTGCCGAACGTTGCCGACCCCTGGCATAGGGTGTTGTTCCTTGTTCTTTTACTCACTAAATTCTTCTGTGGTTCACCAGACTTTGTGTAACTCATAAGAGAATAGAAATGAAGAGACATGCCCTGTTGCCGATAACTGAGTTGTAAAGTAGTGATTGACTCTTACATGGAGATTTTTCCACCAATTGGTTGTCAAGATTGGATGCTTTTCTAAAAGCTCTGCTCTAGGAATTATTTTGGGGATGTTCTATGGCCTGTGTTATACAGGAGTTGAGATAGATGATCACAATGGTCCTTTCTGACCTTGGAATCTATGAATAAGCAGAATAGAGAACAGCACATTGAATAAGAATAGATTCTCTAATTGAAAGTGAAAGTATTCACTTAATATATTTTGATGGCGAGGAAACCTTTAAAACAAAACAGACCTTTGAGGTTTCATTTTGCCAGTGCTATCTTGAGCACTTCAAAAGCTATGTTTAGGTAAGATTTTCTTCTAGGACTTGATATCCTGATCATGCTAGCAGGGAGAAATCAATTTTTAAAAAATGCAACAAATACAAATCTTTATCCTCTTCATAAGCTGCAGATGAAAATGGCATTTCTGTGATGTGAAATATTCAGAAAATGAAAGTGTACTCAGATAACTGTGAACTCTTTCCTTCTTTTTTTTAAATCTTCAGAAAATGCAGTTGACCACTGGAAGGAAGTTTGTGAAGTTTATTTCTAAACAAGATGCTGTCTGGAGGACCAAATAAACTTTTGTGGACCATTGGAGCCGAAAGATTAATTACATGACATTGTTTTTGTCTCTTCACTGTGCGGTTCAGTACTAAGTCAATGTTGCTTTATGTTAAGACCAAACAGTAGTCTCCTGACATCAACATGTCGTCTGTAACAAACACTCAGACTCTGGTGGACTTTGATCCTCCTGTCCTTGAGGAAAAGTCAAAGGGGAAATCATTATTTCAGTTGGGCCCCCTCTTTGCTAGCAGGAGTGAGAAATTTGTAATTGCCAGGAGTGACAGTGTACCAGAAGAAAATGTACTGAAAATAACCATCACCGAGACTACAGTCATTGAGTCGGACTTGGGCATCTGGAATTCTCATGCTCTGATCTACCTCACATTGTGGTTTTTCTTCAGCTTTTGTACCCTTTTTCTTAACAAATACATTCTTTCACTGCTGGAAGGAGAACCCAGCATGCTAGGTAATTATGATTTTCATTATAAGCTTCAGTTCCAATAAAATATTTGAGTGTCAGATTCTGTGTGATAGACTTAAACTGATGAGTGGTTTGTTCAGAGTGAGAGCAGCATGGTCAAGTGTTCTAAGCACAGGACTGGGATCTAGGAATGCCTAAGTTGTAATTTTGGCCTTGACATGGACTCCCTCTGGCTTTTAGTGAATCTGCTAAATCTCTGTGCCTCAGTTTCCCCCTCTGGAAGGTGGGATAAAACTATTTCATAGGGATTCTGTGAAGATTTGTAAGGTAATGTTTGTAAAGCGCTTTAAAGAGGAGTGCTATATAATTTTTGTATACAATGAAACTTTGTAGTCTATTGAGTGGTAAAATTGTGTTTTTAGGGTTGTTGTTTTTTTTAACTTAAAGTCTAATTTTAAATAAATTGTTTGTATTCTTATCTCCAGAGACCTACATGTATCTAAGGTCTCACTGAATTGCAAAGGTTTGGTCTTCATATGACCATGAACAATAGTTGTGTTAACATACCTGGTTTTTAAGGAGTAGAGGGGCATGGTAACTATGAACTAATCTTTGTCTCTTATCCTGCTGGTCGTTTCAGAGGGAAAGGGTTTTTACTAGAATTTTATGAAGCTTAGAGATAAGCATCTATATTTGTTGACACCTACCAAAGATCTCTGAAACTAAATTGATCTAATTTGGTATCTAGGATAGGTTGGTACTTAATGCCGTATTCATCTTCTGACCTCTCTTGGTTTCTCATTTTTCCTTAGGTGCTGTTCAGATGCTTTCAACCACTTTCATTGGCTGCATAAAAATGTTTGTTCCATGTTGTTTGTACCAGCACAAAACACGTATCTCTTACCCTCCCAATTTCATCATGACAATGCTGTTTGTTGGACTGATGAGGTAAATGGCTGAATATTTCCAGGGGGGCAGTATAGGTGGTAGCACTGTGTACTGCCTTGCAGGAGACCCACTTTCACGTCTCTTCTTCCTTCATGAGAAGGGCAGAGGGCGTTGTTCATACAAAACATTTTCTCAGAAATCTCACAATGATCCATCCGTCCTTCAGTTGCTCTTTCTAAACACCTCTTTTCTTCTGACAACAAGTCTTTGAAACTTTCTTTGCACTCCATTGGTTTTAATCCATCATCTCAAAAAAAAAAAAAACCACCTCTTTTCTTTATATTTTCTTTTGGTGATGTGATGTTTCTCTTCTCTTTAAGACTAATACTTTGTTTTCATTCAGGACTACCAGTTGTTCTGATTATTACTATTTATTGTGGTGTTGCTGTGTCCTCCTATTATCCTTTCCTAGCAATTTGTATCAGAAGTTACTTAAAATATTTATAAAATTACATGTTGTTTTTAAACTTACATCTTTAAAAGAAAATATTTGCTATAGCCTTAGATAGAGCAGGACTATATATCATGCCTGATGAGAGGCTATTGAAACATTGTTTGGGCTCACCTTCACTTCAAGTCTAAATGGGTTTTTACTAAACTGGGAGCAGCTATTGAACAGTCTTTCAGCACTGTTGTGTTTTATGATTTAAAAGGAAACTGAATGGAAGCTACCTTTCATTCTGATGAAATAGGAAGCTAAATGTAGCATACATAATTTAGTTACTATACCACAAATGTGTATATTGTGGCACAGTAACAAATTATGTTTGTTAAGCATGTAAAGCTAAAATAAGCCTTTTAAGCATTGTTTTACTGTCTCTGCTTGACTTTGTATGTGTCTCTTTCAGGTTTGCAACAGTGGTTTTAGGTCTAGTAAGCTTGAAAAATGTGGCTGTTTCATTTGCTGAAACAGTTAAAAGCTCTGCACCTATTTTTACTGTCATTATGTCCCGGATGATTTTAGGGGAATACACTGGTAAGTAATTTGTTGGAATGTAATCATTTTGCAATGTAATGTGGGCTATTTGGCGATTGACAAAGAGATTCCATCTGAGTTGTTTAGTGATTAATGCAGCTGGAAAAATTGTCCTTATTGAACAAAGTCTAAACTGTAAATTGAGCAAGCAAGGACCTTTTTAAAAGTAATTTGTCAAAGGACAGTGTTGGTTGGAAATTTGCTTTTTTTACCAAAAAAAATACTGTTACAATTTTTTAGATACCATATATACTCGATCATAAGCCGGTTCATTTATAAGCTGACCCCCCCAAGATGGATAAGTAAAAATGGAAAATTTTTATAACCCGTTCATAAGCCGACCCTATAATTCAGGGGTTAGCAAACTTTGGCTCCCAGGCCATCAGGATACGCCGCTGGTGGGCCGAGATAGTTTGTTTACCTCAAGCGTCTGCAGGCATGGCGGTAAACCTAAGTAAACAAAGTGTCCCGGCGCGCCAGCTGCTTACCCTGACGGGCCGGGACAGCAACTGGTGGGGAAATTTTTTGGGGGGGAAGAAGCTGGGAGTCAGGGCAGTAACCCCTGTGACCACCCCCCACATGACCCCACCCCTAGCCTGGGACCCCCACACTCTCCCCAACCCATCCCTTCCCACTTTATCTGGGGAGGGCCAGGGGAGGATGTCTCTGAGCTGGCTGGAGCTGTGAAGTAATTGTGACATGCCCCAGAATACAATCTGGATTGTTGGATCATTGTGCCCTCTTAACTCTCCGGTCTGGAGTGCACTATGCCCTGCTTTGTTCTGTGAGCTGCCACTCTGCCCACTCACGCCAGCCCTCTAGCATGCAAGTCACCCCTAGACATATACCAGAGTGCTGTGCACAACCACTCTTGAATTACATACAGGGCGACACCTGCATATTCCTAGTCCAGACTTGCACCCCAGAAATGTCCATTTTACACTGCTTAAGATCCCTTTGATCAGAGTAAACTCATTAATTAGTTTGTCTTTCCATCAAAAGGTATTAATATGCACCAGCCTTTGTAACCTGAGTAGATTCCCCAAACTTCAGTCAAAACCACACAGGCTTAGATAAAACATTAAAATAAGTTCATTAAGTACAGAAAGATAGATTTTAAGTAATTATAAGTGGCATAATCATAGAAGATCAGAATTGGTTACACAAAGAAATTCAAGATAAAATCGCAGTCTAATTCCTAAAGTTTATCAAGTTAAGTCAGATTTGAAGGTTTCTCTGACCCAAAAGCCTACAACAGTCTGTGCTAACTGGGAAGCTCTTCCAGTTAGGACCACTTCTCCCAGTTCAAATATTTCTTTGTCTTCCAAGTGATCTTGTTGCCTTCAGTATAGGTTTGGGAGGAAAGGGGACCTGATGATGTCACTGTCCCTTATTTTATACTCTCCTCCAGGTGTTGGAAAAATCCTTACTATGTCCTGGGGTTAGGCAGCCCCAGTGGCGGATTTAGAGTTAGTGGGGCCCTGTGCACAAATTCATTTTCGCCCCCTTCCCGCGACCCAGCCAAGAAAAAGATCATTCTTTTTTCTTCATCCTCCTCCTATATTATAAGTAATGGGAAGTAAATTAAAATAAAGTGAGGTACCTTGATTGGGGTAGGAGGTTGGGGTGCAGGAGGGGGTGAGGGCTCTGGGCTGGGGCAAGGGGGTTGGGTGCGGGAGGAGGGAGGGGTCGGGCTCTGGGAAGAAGTTTGGGTGCAGGCTGCAGGCTCTGGGCTGGGGTAGGGGGTTGGAGTGTGGCGGGGGGCGGCGCTTACCTCAGGCGGCGCGGCTCCCAAAGCCACTGGCACACACACCCTTCTGGCAGCGGCTTCTAGGTGGGGGGGCAGGGGTTCCCGGCCAATTGGAGCTGCGGAGTTGGTGCTCGGGGCAGCGTGCGGAGAGCCCCCCAAGGGTTGCAAGGACATGCCAGCCACTTCTGGGAATGGCATGGCACGGAAGGAGGAGGCAGAGCAGGCAGGGAGCCGCCTTAGCCCTGCTGCTGGCACTTCTCTGCGCACTCCTTGGGGTGAGGGGGGCAGCGGGTTTCTGTGCGCTCTCCAGGGTGGGGGCAGCGCTTGGAGCCACCTCCCCCCAACCAGGGGCGCGCAGAGACGTGCCAGCAGCCGGATGCTTCCAGGAGCAGCATGGGGCCACCGGCCATAGCATGCAGGCGGCCTGCCTGCCTGAGCCCTGCTACGCCACCGGCGGGGACTCAAGTGCAGGTTGTCAGATGAGATTTGTCCTGCATTTTGGGGGCCCCCCTGTCAGTAGGGGCTCCGTGCCACCGCACAGTTTGTTTCATGGTAAATCCACTTCTGGGCAGCCCCATTGTCTACGTGCCCTGCATTCAGTCCTTCATATGAATTGCAATTTCTTGCTTTTGTGTACCTGAGGCTTGACATGCAAGACTTGTGTTCACAGTTCCTTTGTTATTTCTAAGGAACTGGTCTGTGGGCATTTCCCAGACTCTCAGCACGTTTCAGTAACAAATACAGCAAAATCTCATAACTTCATATACAATGACACACACATTTCAACAGGACAGTAATGTTCAACAGATTATGACTTTTCCAGTGACACCACACAAGGCATACGTGGTACAAAATATATCATAGCCAGGATATATTCTGGAAAAACCAGACCCGAAGAAGAGCTCTGTGTAAGCTTGGAAGCTTGTCTCTCTCACCAACAGAAGCTGGTCCAATAAAAGTTATCTCACCCACCGTGTCTCGCTAATTTCCTGGGACTGACACGGCTACAATAGCACTGCATACAATGATTCATTTTGACATTTTTGAAATGAAACATTTTGATTTTTTTGAGTTTAAACAGCTTTTCATTTTGAAATTACCTTCAATTTTATTTTAAAAGATGCAAAAACATTAAACACTCAAAATAGAAACAAAGTTTTATGTAGAACAGAACATTTTGTTCAACCTGAAACAATTATTTTTCAACTTTTTCCTTTTGCTGAAATTCCCCAAAAATTAGTTTTTGTGTTGACCCAAAATGATTTTTTTTTTTTAATTTGGAACTGCTAGCAAACATAAAAATCCATTACTCACACAGCTCTGGTTTAAAGCCAATTTTTAATTTATTTTTTTCACTTACAGGATTGCTGGTGAATCTGTCTCTCATTCCTGTCATGGGAGGATTAGCTCTATGTACAGCCACTGAAATAAGTTTCAACATTCTGGGATTTTCGGCAGCTTTGTCTACTAACATCATGGACTGGTGAGGCCTGATGAAGGTTGCATGTGGAGAAGAGAAGGAATTGTTAGTTTACAAATAAACTAAGCCATATCTTGTCCCAGACTGTACAGTTCAGCTGGTGTTTCCCATACAGTATATTGATTCTTGGTATTCAGAGAATTATTTCTTAATAGAAAGCATACTGCTCTTAGAGGTGAGAACGCCATACCTGTCAGAACACAGTGGATAAAGAATAGAACAACTCCTATGCTACAAAGTCATGTACAATTGAATTATCTCTGTTCATGACTCTTGATGAAGTCTTTACCAGGGATTACCAGTATGCAACCATTTTGTCATTTGTGACTAGCAGTGTCCTGGTTTGTAGCCTGTGGTAGCTTTTTCTTTTAACTACCAGGCGGAGGGTGGGACAGAGCCAATCAACTGCAGGTTCTTATTGCTGGTGAACTCAAATGGTGAATATACGTTGCTTATGTTTTTTTAATAAAATATGTGACCATGTTATGGAAGAATTGCCAAATGCACAAGTATGTTGCAACTAATATATTATGGAAGAGCACTAGCAACTCTAAACTTAAGGTTGAGCAGATACATATATATCTAATTATCTTATTAGCAACATTAAATATATATATATATTTATTTATATTTAATGTTGCTAATAAGATAATTGAAGTACTCTAAGTTAGGTTATTGGGATAATATTTTAATATGCTAGGTTAACAATGAGTTCAAATAACACATGAAAATGGAAAACTTCAGGCATGGTAAATCATTATTGACTATAGTTAAACTCAAAGTAATCAGAAAGCCATGACAGTTTTCTGATACACTTATATAAGAACACTTTTCTCTCTGTAAATAAAGCCTTTTCATATCCTATTGCAAGGTAAAATATATAAACTAAAATGCAGAGAACTTTCTGATTCTTAAATATGTTTAAGGCAGTTGAGATTATCTACAAAATTCTTCAGTCGTGTGTCTGCATTAAATGGTGAGCAATTCAAAAATAATCAGTGTAATAGACTGCTGGGAATTTTTGTTTACAAAATGTCAAATTCTGTGGTCCAGAATTGTTTACAGGGGACACTGGTTCTTGCCACTGTTGTTGTATTTGGATTAGTATTCATGTCCAGCCCCTGTCATTTCCTTTAAAAGTTTTGCCTTTTAGATCTAATTGGGGTCCAGATATCCTTGTGTTAAAACAAAATAGGCAGACAAGATGATTGTAGGCCTGATTCTACACACTTGTTCATTTGTATTCACTTAGCATAAGTATAAATAAATACACCAGGTGCAAGACAGTGATGATTCTAGCCTCTATTCCAAATCATTTCTGTCTATATCTCAAGGCAGATGCAAGTGCAGGCATGAGAGGGCTGTGTGCATTTTTTATTTTTAAAATTATGTACCTGCAAATCAGGTGTGGTGCTTCTTCTGCTTTTGGTTAATTGCAGTGTTGTAGATTAGTCTGAATACTGAATAACTATGCACTTATTTGTTCTAAATGCCCATATCAATGCACTACACCATCACAGGCTGGATATTCTTGCCTTGTATTAATTTTTATCACTATTTCCTAGAGCACAGCTGAACAGTAAAAGAAAAATAAAGAGTATTTTAGTTCAGTTCTCTAGGAAGCACTTGAAAATTTAAAGTCTAAACCATTTATATTTAAAATGTTAACTGCAAAGGAACCTTACACTGCTTCTGAATGTTAAAAGTTAATAAGGCAATGCAAAAATGTAAATTAGCATTTTCACTTGCAGTATGTCAATATTTATATGAAATGTGTAGAGTAGATTGGTGTTTTGTATATATTTCAAAGACAGTAATATATGAATCTGAGACTTAGCTGGTTAAAAGAAAAAAGTAGTGCAGTTGGGAGAATATTAAAATAAAATAACGTATTGTGGAACTTTATAATTCTGGGAAGATTTTGTTCAATACAGTAATTGTGTTATAGTGTGTTCTGTAATTCTCTGATCTTACTTTCATTTCTTTTAAAAAAGTTTATTATTTAATAGTGAATAGTGTGCTGTTTATAAAATGGGAAATTAAAGCAAATTAATTAAATTTAAAACAGGATATCAAAACTTTCTAAAGTATGTTATAGGATATTCATTTTATCTATATAGATATAGATATATATACAGATATAGATATAAATGTTTATGCAGCAAAAGAAGTTAAATTGCTTACTAAAGGCCTTCTTTCTGAATGCATCTTTGTTCTGATCTGTAAAGTATTCTGTTTAAATGCATGAAATAGAAGAAAACCCAGTGTAAATCTGAAGTTGTATATGACTGTCAGGAAGTATTTTATTGAAAACCTCATTTTCTGTCTTATGGAAATTACCATTAAGTTCATTGTTTCATCTGTTCACTATAAATGGCGCCTACAGATAAATGTTTTGATTTTGTTTCCCCAGTTTGCAAAATGTTTTTTCCAAAAAGCTGCTCAGTGGAGACAAATATAGGTTTTCGTAAGTATCTACAATATTTCAAATATACAGCTTACAGAAAGGACCTAGGAAACATCAGGGAAACACTTGTTTATAGTCATGTGGGACCAGGACAAGACTTTCTGTCTTCTCTATGTAGTTTGCTGATGACCGGTATATCCTATATACTGTACTTTAAATGATTGTGTGTCAGGAGAGGGACGAAAACCTTTTGTATCCAAAATATCCATAAGCATTTGCTGGGGAAACTAAATCATGATCAACCAGAAATTCCCTCAGGATACCTAAAATGACAGTCACTTACTCCCAAACACAAAAATAACTCCTTGGGGCCCAAACCTGGAAGCCCTCCATCTGCATAGAACTCCCACTAGGCTTGCAGAAACAGGCCCTTAATTTCCATTCCACATTTTAAACCTCATGAACAGTACATGAAGGTATGAACAATACAGAACGCATGAATCAGTAATCAATTATTGCAGCAAATTCTGCCTATCCACAATTACAATACATTTGAAAACAAATGATATAAAATGTTAAGTGAACACTACAGTGTGTTGTTCAGAAGCAATTCCATAAACTGAATTTGTTTTTTAAAAACAGCTTGCCTATTAAATTCAAGGCCATCTCAGCCAGCATGGAAAGCAAACTTTGTTAGTTCTATAAGAAATTTTGAATTTGTCTTCCACAAGACTTTTAGCTGATATTTTTAAAAGGTTTTTTGACCACTGTAAAGTGTCAGTGCAGAGATTTCTATTTAAATGTAATACAGCTTTCTTTCTGTTACAGTTAAGGAAAAGCTTTTAAAAACATTTATTTTTGTATTATTTGATTTCCATTTATAGTGCTCCAGAACTTCAGTTTTACACAAGTGCTGCTGCAGTTATTATGCTCATTCCAGCTTGGATATTTTTCATGGTAAGAATTTTTATTTGTTAACAAAGATTAATTTTGCTGTTTGATTTGTGCAAATGGCTAACTTTCAGTTTACTTTTCCCCTTCCTTACAATCATGCTGACATGCACCCCTGTTTACTTGTGGTGTTTAAGCAAGGGATCCAGAAAATATATTTTAAGAAGCAGTTTCATGTTGACATGACATGACAAATAAACCAGAAAGATAAAGTTTGTTTCGGGAGCAAGTAATTTAGTCTGAATAAATGGGTCCAAAAGGGCAAGGTGGATGAGGTAATACCCAAAGGGGCAGACACTTGAAGACTTAAAAAATAAATCCTAATGTTTGTAGGCTTCTTGGATAATAGCACTTTGTATTCACATGGTACTTGTAACCTTAATTATAAAAGAAGAAACTGAGGCCTAGTAGATACAATCTGTTAGAGCAGAGGTCGGCAATCTTTCAGAGTGGTGTGCTGAGTCTTCATTTATTCACTCTAATTTCGCGTGCCAGTAATACATTTTAACATTTTTAGAAGGTCTCTTTCTATAAGTCTATAATATATAACTAAACTATTGTTGTATGTAAAGTAAATAAGGTTTTTAAAATGTTTAAGAAGCTTCATTTAAAATTAAATGAAAATGCAGAGCCCCCCGGACTGGTGGCCAGGACCCGGGCAGTGTGAGTGCTACTGAAAATCAGCTTGCGTGCCGCCTTTGGCACGCGTGCCATAGGTTGCCTACCTCTGTGTTAGAGGCTGGGTAGAACTGTGTGGTTCCTAGCTCCCATTTCTGTGTTCCAACCATTAAACTGCATTAACCAAATGCAGCAGAAAAAAGTTGACTTAATTAACAGTACATTAAAGTATGATATGCTGTGGGAAAGATAGTGACAGAATAGCAAAAATAATGATAGATAGACCTATCCTATTACCTTATGTATGACAACAGAAGAGATAAATGCAATCATAGTTTCAGAGTAACTGCACCCATATTCCCCTCTGGGGTCCCTTGAAGGCACTTACTTAAGGTGTCTGGTTCCCTAGCCATCACCTCTCTTGGGGTGGAGACTTATGTTTCTCTACCCCTTGACTGGGGTTTGAAGGCTGCACAGCTCCCTACCTTGCACTGTAAGGTCCCCAGCAAGCCAGTCTGCCTACATGCGAGCACCTGTGCTTTTTCTCCCCAACAGCTATGAACAGTGTATTGCCAGCAGCTACAAATTACTTCACAACTCCTTCTAATCAAGTACCTTTATTCTTAAGGCAAAAGCATTACTGAGAAAACCTATACAAAACAATGGAAGTTCCTATACACATGCTGAAAGCTTATTAGAGGTCACACATCAGAGTTATGGGGCCCTAACAGGACAAAGTCCTTCCAACCCTTCAACAAGGGTTGCCTTCCCCCCCGCCCCCCCGGACAGAAGATCCTGTTTGCTGGATCAGAAAGAAGGCCCTGAGTCATTTTAACTGCAGTCCTTTTATGCCAAAACCCTTTATTTGTTTGTTACTTGGTCTCTGGAAAATCCAGTTTGAACCAGCATATGTGTGGATCCCAAGGGGTGGTACCTCTCTGGATGTGTTTAAATCCTACATGAGTCATCTTAATCACCCCCTACTGGTTTTGGTTCCTGGAAGAGCTTTGATAATCCTGCACCATGAAGTAGATCACAATCATGCATACAATCCCTGGCCCACAGTGATATATAAACTTAATATATGTTCCACCAAAGATACTGTAGGCAGTTACAATATCTGTCACAAAAGCAATTATTGTAACCATGCTAGCTAGATCAAAGAGGTCTTCAAAAATATCCCCATGTAGTGCTTGGACACATTAGTGTTTTGATTCAGAAGATGCATGGTTCCTGGTTCTCTTTAAAATCCTCTTGTGTGATCACCATTTCATTGTTGTTTGGGGAGGGGGGAATACAAATTATTTTCAAAAAGTGATGCTGGGGGAGAACCTTAGTTTTTAATCTGAATAAAAACAGCTCAAATATAAAGGAAGGAAGAGAGCAGCAATAGTGAAAGAACATATGCCTCTAATTCTGATTACCATCAATTCCTGTGCTAGGTGACTACAACAGATTGGCAGACTTTAGGCTCTTTACAGGAATAGAGAGCTCTTCTACTGAGTGACCTGAGATTTTGGTGCTAAAACCCTTAATTAGTAGAATTATAATAGCTGGTTAAAATCTCAACATGAATTCAGGGTAGATACTGAGAGGGGATGAGTTTGGACACTAACTCAGGGTCAGTGTGCTCTGTTTAGGGTGGGTTAGGAACTCATCTCATTGTGAATGGGCCAAGTCATCATGACAATCAAATTACATCAACAGTTACAAAATTAAATCTGTCATCACTTTGGGTAAGGCTAGGTGTCAGGGTTGGTGGAGGGTTAATAGAGAAGCTTTTTGTTGTAACAAGTTAATATTCAAAGGAGGAAATATCACACAGGATAAGTGACAAATAAGGAAAAGTTCAGATAGATAAGGCTTAGGCTCTCCTTGCTCTCTCCTGCAGAGAAGATAAAACATGAAGGGTATAAACATTCCATCTCCTACTTCTGAAAATTAGATTAAATATTCCTGCCTTTATTTCCAGTATAAAGAAGTGCCTCCTTTAGGCCTAGGGGTAAAATTAAGTTGCCTAGCCTATGTTTGCTTGTAAAAGAAAACAGGACACAGCTAGATTCTTAAAATCCTGTTCCATTCTTTGGCTTTAGGATGTGCCAGTGATTGGGAAAAGTGGAAGGCGTTTCAGTTACAACCAAGATGTCATTGTACTGCTCCTAATAGATGGAGTCTTGTTCCATTTGCAGAGTGTTACAGCATATGCCTTGATGGGAAAGATTTCTCCTGTAACTTTCAGGTAAAACTATAGATTTTGTGTCAAAATTATGGTTCTTTCCTTCCTTAGACCATCTCATACTGGTAACTGATTGAAAATGCTATACGGTGGAATAAATAAAATAAATTCTATATGTACTCCAAATTAATGAGGATGTTTTCCAAATCCAAAAATCAAACATAGGGCCAAATCCTTGTACTGTATGAGTAGTACCACTGGTTGCAAAGGAACTACTGCTTTTGTGTGTAAGGACAACAGGATTTGATCCTTAGCATTATGCTTGTGGGACAGGTATGCACAGTTCTTAGCCTCATTTCACATAAATAAGCAACCACATAGGGATACACTTACAAATTGCTGAATGGAGTTTTAGGTGTGTGATTCTAATTTTAAAATATTTGCTGATACTGCCAGTTTTCTGGTGGGAATGAGTAGGTGAGTGGATTAGCCAAGGGAGAATTAGTGACATCCTATTGTATGTTTTTAAAAAAGCAGCATGTCTCTTACTTGGTGACTTTAATTATTCCCATTAGCTCTCAGTTTAGGGATATTACACAAATGTTATTGCTGATACTTAAAGGAGTCGCTTTTTTATTAGCCTGAGCAGGAAAAGTGGAATCTGGCTTTCTGCAAGATAAAGCACCAAAAGATCCAAGTGTGATGGAGCATACTGAATATATTGTGTGTGGCGAATGTCAAAGCCTTTCAGTCCTTAATATTTGTGTTTTGTTGTTTCAGTGTTGCTAGTACTGTGAAGCATGCGTTGTCAATCTGGTTAAGTATTATTGTGTTTGGTAACAAAATTACAAGCCTCTCAGCCATTGGGACAGTTCTAGTAACAATTGGCGTTTTGCTATATAACAAGGCAAAGCAACATCAGCAAGAAACGATACAAAGCCTGGCAGTGGCAGCCTCACAACCCTCACAGAGCACAACTGAAGATACCAAGCCACTAATATCCAAGGATTTAAAGCCATATGATTGATATGGCTCTTAATTCTTCCATCACAACCTGACACAACTCAGAGGATCTCTGTCTTAAATGGACGCTACCCCAGCTGTTGACAATGCTTGGTTTCTTTGAATTCACAACAGGTGAAAGAATGGACTTTGCTGCAGAGAGGAAAAAAAGGAGAAGATCCTATAAGCCCTGGTTTACTAGAAACTGACATGTAGAACCGAAGACCAAGAGTAATCCAACATGGTAAACATTGGCTTCATACTCCTTCCTTGACTCTGCAAATAAATAACAAGACTGTATTGGAGATAAAACTTCAGTGTCAGATGGAAAAATAACTTGTACCCCAGCCCCACCAAAGTAATGTGATAACGTGACCCATCCCTGTTTTCTGCATGCTTGCAGTAGGATGAAACTAGTGGATAGGAAAAAAATGTCTAGTTGTCACTCTTTTTAAACATCTTAGACTGTGTGTGTGCATGGTGAGGATCTGGAAGAAAGCACTTTGAAAGACAAAATCAGTCATTTTCGTTTACACAGCTGTTAGTGTAAACTATGAATATGGGCAGCTACTCTTGAGTATAAAGCCAGCAAAGAGAATTTGTGCTTTCCTTTGAAATTCTCTAACAACTGGAGCATTGCAGTTTGCCTGGGTACCGACCACATTCGTGTGTCTACAAAACTGAAACACACACACACATGCCTATATACTAGGAGTCAACACAAATAAGTATAGCTGCTATCAGGCAAAAACCACTGGAAATTTTCAGAAATAAATGAGGCATCAGCATTTCCATAGTAAGTACTGTCTTAATTTTAGAAATATAAAAGTTTCCTTTGCATTGTAATTTATCATAAAATATTTTTAAGGCAAGAGGGGAATGAGTTTGATTTTTCTTTTTTTAATTTATAGGAGAGCAGTTAAAAACAATAGACTTCTTGAAACTCGGGGTTACAACTCTGTCTTTAGCTTTTGTGCTCAAGTATTTTAGTATGTCCTGTTACAGTGATAAGAAGTCAGAGTGGATAGAGTTTAAGGGTCGAGTTTTAACCTTAAACTGAGAATATTCTGGCATCTGTTTTTTTTAATTTTTTTTTTTAATTTTGCATGATATAGTATTTAAAAAAAATCAGTGCTTTGAGAGAAAGAAGGTAGAAAGCTTCAGCTTCATTTTGATTATTTCACTTTTAAAAAATGCTAAATCTTTCTTCATTGTTGTCAAGATTACAGCATAGGCCTCTCTCTCTCTCCATAGGGCAGCCACAGTCATTAATCAAGATTTAGAAATTTCCTACAGTAACTGGTGTAGTCCTGGTTTTACCTAATGTTAGTGAAACCCAAATCAGTGTCATGAAGCACAATGTATCATGCCATAGGCATGTCCTAACTTTTATCAGACAAAAATATAGCAACTTGCTCTGTGTACAGTCAGATTTATCTCTCAAACAATGTGGAAAAAAATAGAATCCTACTAAAGATGTAGTTACTAGGTAGGTACTGTGTTAAAAAACTAAAACTTTTTAAAGTAAAATTAAAATGTCTTGTATGTATTTTACAAGTGATGGATTTGCTCAATCATATAGGGCTTTTAATATAAAAGAAATTGCCCTTTCAACTGCTAACAATAATTTCTTTTCTCCAGTAAACCAAACCATTAAACTACAAGTAACAAACCCCTATAAGATGCAATCTGGGGATCATGAAGTGTTTGGGCTGTGAAAAATTGGCAACAAAAAACAAAGCTAAAGTATTATTCTCAAAGTGTTAATCCTTTTTTGCCGCCTACACACTAATGTTTGCACTAGCTTTATGTCTGCCCATCTGACATGATCTGGAGAGTGGTCTGTGCTGTAAGGTCAGGGATATTGGGTCCACACCCAAACAAAGCTATTCATTGTTTAAAAATCCAGTAGTTAATGTAGAGTGGACGTGCTACAATATAAAACTGTTTCCTTTTAGCTGTTAGATATAACTTGCAATTGTAGTTGTCTCTTTAGACCTCTTTACTTATTTGGGCAAATCTGCTGCATGTCTAGATCCCTTTAGGGGAATAAAAAATTAAGCTTAGAGTTCTGTTTGACAACATGCTAGCTTCAGAAGAGTCTGTCTATATGAAAGAGCCTACTATCTATCCCATAATAAGTTGAGCATAGTCAGTAGAATTTATTGGACACATTCTGCACATAGCCAATTAGCATATGTTTCCAGCCTGGCACTATTTTTCTCATCTACACAAGGGATAAACAGATCTGTAGCTCCATTTGCCTTGTGACAGCTCAACATCTAGCCAAGTAAACTATGCGAATCAGCCAAATTTCTGATGAATGTCATCTAGATGCAAAGCCCTAGGTAAAGCTGTGCACTATGTGAGATCTAGCTCATTTTTAAGCTCTGCCTTCCAATAGTTGACTTAGCATTCTGCCAAGAATTTACAGTTGCAATTTCACTGAGATTTTCAAAGACCAGTATCCCTTCTTGGCTTACATAAAGGTAGATAATTGTCAATAATTGTGCACGGAATCAATATTTTAAGTGTCTAGCATATTTTTTATAGAAAGTACACATCTTCCATAAACTGCCATTTTAAGATGTTATATAAGTGGCTTAATGAAAGCATTGATTTTTTTTTTTAGCTTGTCCTGATGTAAGTTACCCAATGCATTATTTTCACTGCCAGTTTCTTTTTGGTTGCATATGCCTTTTTGTTAAAGAGAAAATACGTGAACTGCATGCAAAGATTGCTTGGATTTGGATCGTTAGGTGGCTCAACAGTCAGGCCTTTGAGGTCCATTAAACTCCAAGAACAGAGTTCTCTAATGTTCTCTCTTTGGAAAACATGACAAATTTCCTGTTGCCAAAGAGTATAATATGTTTGTTTGAAAACCAAAGGACACATCCTTATTTTGCATGCATGATTTTACTGCATCAGAATAAATATATAGGCTTGGATTTCTGGAATGTCATAGGGCCTTCAGCTAAACCATTGTGTAAATATCTAGCTAATTTGGCAAGGACGGTGATACTGAAAACCACAGGATAAAGAAAAATCACAGCAGGCTAAGGCAGGTATTTATTTTAAAATTTCCCCCCAACCCTAGTATGGCATACTGATGCTTGACTGAAGGGACCAACTGACTTGCAAATATAAGGAAACAGATAGTTCTGCATTTTGTACATTAACTATGATGATACTATCCCCAAAACTATATATCCACCATTTGAAGATGTGGTTAATAAAGCTGCTGTCAGACAATGATTATTATATATATTAATCTCCCCGTGGATATAAAATGCTGGGTTAATTGTAATTAGGTTGTGACCATTTCATGTTGAATCCCTTTCTCCCCTTATGACTAGTGATCCCAGTGTTCTAGCCACTCTGCAATTTGATCTTTCTCTAACTTTCCTATAAAAATCTGAGTAGCATTTGTCGCACAAGTGAATTACTGTGAAGACTCCATTATATTGCATTGACTCTGCTGCCTGGATTTTAGCACAGGTGACTTACTTAAGCAGCCATAAGGAATAATACCTTATTCAAATATGAATCAAAGCTGATATTTTTTTTGTTTGTTTTTAAAAGACAATTATAACTCATGGCCCATTCCTGACTTCTATTCATAGTTTCTCCCCTTTTCTGCGGGTTATTTTCCCTGTGTTTTCATCTTTTAGTGGGTGTAGGTTAGGGATGTAAATATTGATTAAAAAGTTAACCGTTTAAACTATAAAAATTATATTGTTTAATCGGTTAACCGATTAAAGGGAGAGAGGCTGGGGTTGGCTGGTCGGCCCAGGGCTGGGGCCGCTCTGGCCGGCTGGCCCAGGGTTGGGGGTTAACGTTTAGGGTGGGTTAACCAGTAAGACTAATGCTTACTGGTTAACCGTTTAATATTTTATATCCCCAGTGTAGGTGCTTTAAGTTTACCCTCATACCAATAGCAAGGGATAGGTGTCTTGAAAATAACTCGGACATTTTCTTTTCTCTTGTTCTCTTTCCAACCACTGCAGATCTCTATAATCACTCTTGTGTTTGTCTTAAGGAATGAAAGTACTTCCAAGGCCAGCCCAACATGATGCCTCAGAACTGGGGTGGATGTTTAGCCTTGCTTTTCAACATAAACTTCAAACCAGAATGATTATAATGGAGTCATACAGTGGGATAAACTGAGTTTCTCTTGCAGCATAGCATGTATAGGGTGGTGGTTTTCTTTTGGAGGTCATGGAAGCCTGGTCTGTGTGTTAAGGATTCTTTTCAATGTCAGCAAAGGCATTGTGCTTTTCCCTCTCAACTCCATCCTCAGTTCTGTTTTCTAACTCATCACATAGGTAGCTCCTTTCTCCTTTTGAATGGATATTAGGACTTATCTTAGCCACTGTGTGGGTAGGGGCATGTGGACTAAAAAGCCAGATTTGTATTCGGTAAGCTCGTATCGCTGCAGATTTGAGTCATGAATCAGCATTGGGTGTCATGGAATTTACAATCCTATAAATATGAACACCTGTCCATTTTTTTTGCATACACTGTATGGGTAACATTACATAGGGTTGTCTGATTTTAGGGTCTTATTCAGCGAAGATGGGCAGTGAGGCAATAAGCCTGCAAAATCCACAGACTTGGCATCTAATTCACCTAAAACCAAAATTATACCTTGCAATTGTGGCTCAGACTTTTGCAAATTTATAAAGCTTTTTAAGCCTCTTCTAGAAAGCTGAACACTTCATGCCTCTTTAAGCAGCATTTTACTAAATTAATGGAGCTTCTGGAACCACATTTTGCAAGTCAAATTAGTAACCCTATCTAAGAAAATATGAGTCAAACTACACCAGCTGGGCACCTCCTCTTCTAACTGTTTTTAGGAGAGAATCAAATCACTTCTTCTCTATCCTATCAGTAAGGGATGGAGAAGAGGAGGAGCAGGAGACCAGAAATGGTCATCAGTATTCACTTTGAGAGAATTTCAGTTCCTGAATTGCAGTAAGGCAGGGCTTGCTGAAAGCCTCAGAAAGTTGCTGTGGCTCAGCACCCCCAGAGCCAAGTTTTTGCTAACTAGTCATTGATCAGGAGAAAGAATCAGTGAATTGCCGTTTCAATGCAGGCAGACGGATCTAAATGAAGATTTAAATAAGTGTGTTACAGAAGAGAGGAATTTATAAAGTGGGTAATAGTAGGGTGAACAGATAGCAAGTGAGAAAAATTGGGACCCTTTTTTTTCAGGGGAAACGAGATAGTTGTGTATGTAAGACAGAGCCCCTAATATCAGGATGTCTGGTCACCCCAGCTAAGGGTATTGGCTCACCATTCAACAGTCCTTTAAATGGAAGATACCTTAGTGTCTGAGAAACTTGAAAACACAGTAGCTCTAATTGCTGCTTCTATGTCAGGGCCAAACCTTTATGTATTTGATACCAAACTACGAATGTTGGACTGAAATACACTGTACATATTATTTTGTAGGTATTTTGTATAGTCACAATTCCGGTATTTATGTAAGGTAGGACATTTGAGTACTTTCTAAAAAAAATAAAATCCATCATGCATAATCAATTAAATATAACTGTTAATTCTGTTTGTAATACATATCTGATCCTGTGGATACCAATTATGATTGTTCCTGTGTATGATGCAAACAGACATGATTAAACATCCTCGTTTTTTACTTATTCTTGAAAAGAATAAAATTAATGTATAATGTTTTTATTATTTCTTCTAAGAAAAAAATAAAAAATTCCATCATGTAAGTTTCTATCTGTGAATGTGGTTATTTAAATACATATGAAAACTTTCTTCAGTGATCCGTGACTGTACCTTGGTAACGCAGCTGAAACACCCAAACCCCAGGCATACTGGGGACGATGAGGAAAAAACCAGCCTTTTTCTATTAGACAATGTAAATCTCTCTCTCTGGGGAAGGTGGGGCACAGTGTATTCTGGTGAGTAGAGCAGCTAACAAGTAAGGACTTTTAGGGTATGTCTACAAAGGGATTAAAAAAATCCCTGGTGGCCCGGTCAGCTATCTCTGGCTCATAGGGCTTGGGATTTGGGGCTGAAAAATTGCTTTGTAAATAAAATTGCTGGAGCCCAAACTCTAGGATCTACAAGGGTTGATGGTCCCAGAGCTCAGGCTGGAGTCCGAGCCAAAATGTCTGCACAGCAATTTTTAGCTCCACTGCCCGAGCCCCGTCAGCCCAACTGCCCAAGTCAGTTGACCTGGGCCAACTGCAGCCATGCTGCAGGTCTTTTATCCCTGTGTAGACATACCCTTAGGTTCTAAATGCTGTCTCTAGGAGTGGAGTGTGGTCTAAGGATTAGAGTCTGGGACTGGGAATTAGGCCATCTGAATGCAGTCTCATTTCTAGTACTGAACTGCCTTGTGACCTTTGACAAGTTGCTTAATCACCCTAGA